TTAATAATTATTTAAAAAGTGATTGTTTTTAACGGTGGATGGATATATGAAAAAAAACAAAAAGGACTATAAGTGAGAAGTTCATGCAAACATTAAAAAAATGAAGGTATAATCATTTTGAAAGGGTAATAGATTTTTGATTTTTTCATGTTTAGTCACTAAATTTTTTTTTTCATTATATATTTGTCACTAAAGTATTAAAATTGTTCATATTTTTCTCTTGTGGCCGGTTGTTACGGTCATAAGGATAAAATATGAATAGATTAAATAATTCAGTGACAAATAAAATGAGAAAAAATTAGTGATTAAATGTAAACAAAGTTGAAAGTTAGTTTCCCTTAAAAAAAATTCAATAATTGAATGTGAACAAATTTTCCTCTTGTATTATGGTTTAGCAAATTATGTACTTTTGTTAAATTTTAACGACATTTGTTGATGAATAAATCTATAAAATAAATAAAACCCAAAAAAAGTATAAAAAAAATTCAATATTATATGTATAAGTTTTATGTTATAAAACTATGCAATATTATATGTATAAAAATTATCCTAATATTATATTTATGAATTTTGTGTTACTAAATTATGCATCATATAAATTGACATATATTAAACCATATATATTGTTTAAAAAAGAATACATACATATATTAATACATTTTATATGTTCTTATACTCCATGTATTGACATACATCATATTAATATATTTACTATTAAAGATGATATCAAAAATGAAAGTCAAATTGTTAAGAATTTTGACTTTTTGATTTACCCGAACAATTGATTTATATTTGAGATTGTATTTCCTTAAAAAGTTTGAATAATTATTGGAATTTATGATTATTTAACTAGATATTTAGAGCTAAGTGAAACCGTTAACATATTTTATAAAGTGTTGCGCCCAAACCACCCCATCCATATTACATTTACAAAAAAAAATTGAAAAAAAAAAATAGTTATACATTCAACAATTAAAACGGCACTATTTATTTTTCTTTCAAAAAAATCACTCATAATTTTAAAAGGTTTTAGAAAAAACAATTCATATTTCAATAACTATTTTCAGAAAATAAGTTCTTCAGAATACAAAGTAATTTCTGACCATGAAACACAATTTCTTAATAGTTTTGGGTAAGAATGATTTATTTTTTTGTTAAACCGAAATCAGATTGGAACTTTTGATTTTTTATTTTGGAAAATACCAAACCATTGGTTATTTATTTTGGTTTCGGTTTTTTATTTTTTTAAAATATATTTTTCGGGGTTTTATTTTTTTTATTTCATAGATTTTTTCATCAACAAATGTTGCTAGAATTTAACAAAAACAAATAATTTACTAAAACATGATACAAGAAGAATTTTGTTCACATTTAATCATTGAATTTTTTTTAGAGGGAAACAAACTTTCGACTTTATTCATATTTAGTCACTAAAATTTTTCATTATCTATTTGCCACTAGACTATTAAAACTATTCGCATTTTACCATTATGATCGGTAACAACAGGTCATAAGGGTAAAATGTGAACATTTTAAAGAGTTCAGTGACAAATAGATAATGAAAAAAAAGTTTAGTAACTAAATGTAACGCACCCGATTTTCAGGTATTGTTCAAATTATAGTTTCTTGGTTTTGGCCCTACTCGACGAGTCGGTTACCCTACTCGTCGAGTAGCAGCTGGATTGGATCGCGACTTAAGTGACTGACTCGGCGAGTCCACTAGTTGGACTCGGCGAGTAGGATCTGGCAAGTAAAACCCTAATTCCCGGGGTTTGTGTCTCTATTTAAAGGAGCCTTAGCCTCCCTTGGGTCTCTTTACAGTCTTAGTGAGTCCCTGATTCGAGTGTGTGTGCTTGTTGAGTGTGTGATGCTTGATTTGAAGATTTTGAAGGAGAAGGCTTGAAGGAAGAGGAGGTTGGAGCAAGTTAGGTGGGGAAATCAGCACTACTTTCAGTTGTCATCTTCCAGAGGTATCCTAAATTACCATCTCTTATGTGAGTTTTCCTTTTATTGAAGTTATAGGGTTTTTCTATGGACCTTAAAGGTTGATAAGTGGACAATGAGTTGGATCTAAAGTTGTAACTTCAGATCTGAACCCTCTCTAAGCTCTAGAAACATAAAGTCTCAGAATTGATCATGCATGAGGTCCCTCTTCGGCATGAAACCCCATTGAGAGCTTAGAGTTGGCATTTAGATCCTTAAATGCAATGCATGTATGTAAAGTTTGTGACTTTACGTAATAAGTATACCATAGAAGCCTAGATCTATGAATTGGAGCCACTACATGGCTTAGAATAAGTCTGTATGGAAAAAGACCAAACGGACTCGGCGAATCACAAGGATGACTCGGCGAGTCTGATGAAGGAAGTCGTGAACTCGACGATTTGGATGAACAACTCGGCGAGTCCGATGAAGATCGTCATGAAACTCGGCGAGTTAGATGAACAACTCGGCAAGTCAGATGAACTTTCCCAAGGATATGCCCGTGTATGCACCCGTC